GTCACAAAGGGGTGGTTTTTACTCCCATCCAGTGAGTGGATAATGGGCACCCCTAACCTCCAATAGGCACCCCTTTGTGACTCCTGGTATAAATATCTCGCAACAGTAAGCCTGGTGAATGTGAGCCAACAGTCGATACCAGCATGGGCAGCACTGAGCATCTTGGAATCCAAACGCCCAGTGAGTGGATTGAGACCCTCTGGGCGCCCCGTTCTAGCGCCCTCTGAAGGAACCCCTTTCACACTCCAAATGGGATGTTAGGTCGACCTACATTGTTACATTGACCCTCATTCACCCGTGTAGGTACACTACCTGGAAATATCGAAGTGGAACACAACCTGTAGAGGAAGATGGTCCAAGGGGCCATTGTCCACTTCCATGACCAACAAAGCAGAACTCTTCAGATTCAGCCACGTTTGGGCACCCAGTTTACTGGGTATACTCGGGTATCCCCACGTCCGGACCCGGAAGGTGTCGGGTCCGAGTCGAAGCTCTTGAGTCTTAGGGCGACCGTAGGGACTCCAAAGTTTGGTTATCGGCTCCAACTGTCTCCGTTTCGAAGGTGGTTGGGGTGGGTGCCAGGGGGATAAAACCACCTTCTGAGGATATGGGCCAAGAACCCTAAATTATTTCACGGAAGAAGCTGCCCAATGGCCGCCATGGCGCACCTCACGGGCGGCGAAGCGGCGCAAACTTCCGGGCTCCTCACTGCCGACCTTGGCGCCCAAGTGTTGTAGGACTCCGTAGCCCCAACGACCACCGTGCCGCGCCACGCCCTCTTGCAGTGCCTTGGGGTGCTCACTTCACTCGGCGAGAAAGGTGATTCACGTTTAAAGTTGATAAACTTCAACTGAAGCGTCACTTATGAAGAAGGTAAAAGATGTAAAGGAAGCTTTTGGTGATGAGCACACGCTTGAACTCAAGTGGCACCGACTTTTGCATAGAGGTGTTTGAATAAATCAAACATTCAGTGAGGAAGGAATAACAAAAGCCTTTAACAGCCACCAGAAAACAAAAACGACATTCAGCTCAGGCACGAGATCCTGAAAGGCGTTGTAGCCGGAAAAGGGGCGCGCCTGGTTCAAAACCTGGAATCGGACGGCTGAATTCTGCAGGCAGCTCTGACATCATGTTGACTGGGAATTTGTCTACACTTGGAGTCATGAATGTCACATGTGGTTTGTCTATCATGTGGTCAGTCATAGCCGCTATAATGATATCTATATATACACGCAATGTTGACCTATGATTAATAGAGGGACCCCGAAATAAAGTTAGCACTTTTTATTTCATTCAAATTCAATTCCACTTCATTTCTAATTGTAATACTAATTCACCTTTATTTTAATATATTTGTTTTAGTAAGGGGACATGTCATTGTATTTTATATAGTTATTTATATATATATATTGGAACCTGGGATGCACTTTACTTTGGGTTTCCTAAGAATTTCAATAGTTGACAGTACATTTATCAATCAGAGGTCAGCATACTTAATATTATGGTATTATCATGATATTGTAATATATTGTATATGAGTTTGTATGAACCCTCTGAACTGAATTGAACAAGTCTGGTCTCTTCATGTCAGTCATTACTGGGAGAAAGAATCCGAACATGTTGACCGTTGACACGATGTGGTTGATCCTGTCAAACCGCCATAAGACACAGTAGCTGCTAGGTCTCTTAACTCCCATTCCACCTTTGAAAACTGGAGACTTCTTCCGCCCCCCCGCGTTTGAACAACTTAACCTTCTTTCAATATCTTCCAATCACCCCAGTCTCTGTGACCTCCGCCGAGGTCCCAACCCCGTGGAACCGACCGTGGGACCGGGCACGACCTGCGGCCTGGTGAGTCGCTTCTCCACAGGGATCATACCTTGGATTTAAAGAAAACGGCACCCCAAAAAACATATTTCCAGGACCTGAAGTCTTGATATCTCAGAACTTGAGATCGAAGACGATCACAACTCGTCCATAAAAAGGGAAACAACATACAGACTTCAAAGAGGTCACGACTGACTGAAGGTCCTGGTTAACATATTTAAACATCATTAACACAATTCGACACATATTATTCCTGATGCCACGGGATGAACATCAAAAAAATCATCTGATCAGCAAAACCAGGATACTCGGCACTTGGAAGTTCCACCCACTGCACTGAGGACTCATGGGCACGATTAGGCGGCGGTTTCCCTTCCATGGCGAAGCGGGATGGACTCAAGGAATGCAAAGTTTGGGGAATGGGGAATGGTTCTGCCACGGAGCTTGTCGAACTTCTTTCAATGTTTCAATATGTTAAAGTTCAATGGGAAGCAAACAACATGCATCTGGAATCCTGGTGTGCACGCTTGTGTGATTTGGCATCAGAACATCAACCTCTGCAGGAATATCTTGAAATTAGCCACCACTTGTTCACATGTTCCTAGGCGAGGGACTTCTGTAGCCGTTGTTTGCAAAGTTGTCCTTTGAACAGGTTTGATGTGTGGTCTTGTCTTCGTAGTCAATTGGAGCTAATGCCTGCATGTTTCAACATGGATGACATAGTATTCCTTCTCACATCCATAGTGTTGAATTGGTTTTGCGACGTCTAAACATGGTATTTCCTGACTCAGCTTCTTCACATTCATGCCACATTCATGCCGAAACAAACAGGTCGTCCAGGCAGTTTGGGGACTTTTGTTCGCGCAGCGTCCATGAACACAACGTATATACAACCCCAAAAGCCAAACCGTCCACACACACACACACACTGTAAGAGCACCCGCGATGAATCAAATATGGCCAATACGTTCCACGCTGATTACTATATGAGTAATTATATAGAATTGATTCTTGATCAACTTAAAAAAAGAATGGATTGGACATGCTTGGACAACCTCTTCATATGGGGGAAGTTTTGTGATGTTTTATGAATCAAGACTGCAGCCACTGATCATCGAAACCTCCAAAAACATGGAGAGATCGATGTGTGCAAACATGTCCAAACTATCCGAACAGCTGGCCCGCTGGTATTTCACATCTCAAGAACAGCTTGGCAGACTGAACAGCTGAACGGCGCATTCATGATCGAAGTGACCTTGATGCTGGACCACACACCACCCAAAAACATGGGTCGTTTCCGATCAAAACAGAAGGTCATCCATCTCTGGGCTCCATGGGTGTGATCATGTATGGCAAATGAACGATCAGTTCGGGCCCGGTCGGATCCTTGGACCCGACCTCTTCGCGTCCGGGTCCGGACACGAACCAACCCTGTTCCATTCCCAAACGCTCAACGTATGGAATAGTTGGGGTAAGTGTCTGCAACTCTTCCATCCATGCATTCCATCCAAACCAGGAGAATTAATTCCTATCAAACCTGGAGGGTCTGAGTCGGAGTCCTGTTGGAACCAATGGTTTCCCTTTTTTTCCGATGAGCAGAGCGGTATTGGAACTCTTGGAGCCACATCCACCTGTCCACCAAAGCCCAATTGAATGCATCTGAACGCCCCCCGCCAAGGCGGCTCGCCCTCGGCCGAGCGGGGATTCAACCTCGCTGCGCCAGTGCAGGGCCCGACGGAAAAAGACACCAGGAAAGTCCGTGTGGGGTGAAACCCTCATCCAGAAGCTGACGAGACGCAGCTTTCTACCAGTCACCAGTTCTTGTGAAAGATGGGGTGTCCCATCAGGTGATCACAGATGATCGGACCTCCAAGCTCCATCAGTTTCCAAATGCTAGGCCTCCAGTCGTACCTGCTGAGAAGGTGGGACTGCGGTGGGTGCCATGTTGGTCCAGTCATACCGAACGTGAGGAGGTACTTGGACCTGGAGGTGTAGGGAAACACCTCTTTCCAAGCGATCCTTTGTTGTAGGTGAAGTGATCCCCAAGTGTCCCATGCGATCCACTGGGCCTGGAACTGCACCCTGGGTCGAACTTGGAGTGAGTCGAACTGGGCTGTGATGGGCGGTTCATCTAAGCGGGCTCGGCTTAAATTCACATGTTAAAACTTAAAGAAAGCTGCTATCATTCCTATAAGCGACAAGAGCTCAAGGTATCGCCTTTCGCCATCCAAACCGGCTCAACAAGTTCATGCTCGTGCAGGTCTGCCCAATCCACGTTCTGAGCGCTCGTTCTATCTCGTGCGTCGCAAGTAAGGCTTCGGCCCCAGGTGGCACAAGGCCTCCGCCGAGTAGACTTCGCCCAGGTGGGGCACGCCTGTGCGGCGCATGAAGAAAACATGAAAACATGAATACATGAAAACAACAACAACGACAACAACAACAACACCAACAGCAGCAGCAGCAGCAGCAGCAACCACCACCACCACCACCACCACCACAACCACCACCACAACAACAACAACGACCGCTATCTCAGTCAAAGGGCCGGTTCTTAGAGGGGATATATATATTGTTAGCAGCGATCCACCGAAAGATCGACTGATGTGAGATCGAATGATTTGGTGGAAGGGCACAGCGCCCACCAATCACCACACTTGAAGAGCACACCAACCAATGACCACGTGCCATTGGATTTTGAGTTCATTGCTACCTGGATCCTTCCAGTTCGTACCGATCAAGCAGGACATGACTCACACGTGACATGCCCCTTATAGAAACAAGTACGGAGCCCTGTGCCCAAACCATCGGATCAGGTGCTTTGAGACTCTACCCCGAAAGAAAACCTACAAACCATCAAAAAGCTGGTTCTCCATCGCAAAAGAAAACTGTTTTTGTAGGTGAACACCTTTATTTGTCGTGGGCTTTGACCGTGTAAATCCGACCCTGAAATGGACCATGACCAGGGTGATGGATCATCGACTGCCTCGACGACGACTCACATCCGAGAACCCTCTGAGACCAAAAAAGAGTCTGACAGTCTAGAGTCCATATGGTACCGGTATCGGACTAAAGCGGGTGTCCAATGGCCACGGCTAGCACAGCATGGCTTGCCGCCTCCCGGACCGTCTCGGGATGCACCAGTGGAGGCTTCATCTAGGACCTGGCAAGAAGCTTAGCGTTTGGACAGCAAAGGTTGGGCAGAAACCATGGAGCAGAAAGCACCAAGGCCGGGGGTCTTGGGTGATGAGTGATGTTCGGGCTCGTAGCCCGGCTCCGACCGAACCTCCGGCTCCGGGCACCCCAGGCTCCGAGGTTCAAGCGAATCGAACCCGCAATCGTTCAATTCCTTCTACTGGGGAAGATGCACTTGTGGCATCCACAATACCAATTGACCAGTTGGAGATCGGAATGCTTTAAAGGCCTTTGGTACGGTTGGCAACTGTTCGCAGATTAGACCCCAAACTCAATCAAACAGCTGACTCATGATCCTCATTTGACAAGCAACAATTAATCTATGCCACGGGAAGACTCATCTTTACTTCACCCACATAAGGAAGCACACATCATATGCGGCACAAGTCAGAAGTGGATCAACATACCGACGACCAAATTCTCGTGTGCTGAAATGCATCCACCCAAAAATATAGATCCGGACCCTCAAAACACCAGGGTTTTGAGGCCCCTCAAACCCCTGTTATACCTTCTATGGGGGGGAGGTGTTGAATTTCGGAGACTTGTGGCTCTCTCACCCTGCTTCGACACGAATACCCCTGGCCCAGAGATGTTTTTTTACGGCTGTTGATGGGACCATTCCCAAAAAAAAGAAGCTCACCATCAAAAGACATTTTTCAGCTGCATGTTCTCCTGCGAGGATTCCAAAAAGGCGCCCCAGGTCCATGGAGCTCCAGAGCTATGGGTCCAATGCGCTAAGAACTTGACTGCGCCTGAACGCTCCGTTCACAGGCCTTTCCCGGTCCCTCAAAACCAAAGGGATTGGTGAGAAGCTCCGAACACTTACCCAAAGGGTCTTCAACGAATGGCCAAATAGGATGACCCCTAAGTTCGCTGTCACACCCCCCACCCGAGCCCTTTGGTTCTAAGCAGAAGACCAAGCGTCGTCATATCTGGGGTCTATCCCGGTCACACCCAGGTTTCAGTGGATGATGGGGCCTGGTTGCAGGCCGACATCCATCCATCTCTGAAATAGTGATGTTCTTATTGACTGACTGTTACAGGTTAGGATAGACTCGGATAGACCCCATTCATATCGGTCCAGGTCCAACATCTTGGCCGCCTCTTGCAGCTGCTGCAGTGCATTTGCTTCGCCACGCTGCAAATGCTCAAGGCCCTGAAGGAACAAACATGCTAACACCGGGGTCGTTTCACAGGACAAGCATATTGGTGGGAAAAGCCATCCAAAAATCAATGAAGAATTGCCAGAATGGCCAATATATTAAGTTATATACTGCAAAGATGTGTTTTCAATGGTCTTGTCTTCCCAGCTTCGGATAACATCTCAGATTTTGGATGAAAAAACACCCCATCATGGGGCTTCTAACCTGCGATTTCGGCAAACTGAATTCTGGGAGAAAAACCAACCTGTAGGTTGTTTAACACCTTAAGAGGACACGAGGGCGGGTGTGTAGACCTGTAGCCTCTCGTAAACCTGGAAGTGACCCCTTGACTCGGGTGGTCTACATTCTACAAGTCTGGGTGCAGTTGGTTGCCCTTTTCACCAGACCCATGTACGTATGTGTACGCGCTAGTTAACATGGGCTTTTTTATGCGGGACCATTTGTTGAAGGTTGTTTTGGTGTCCGGCGCATTCTCCGGCGCATCGTGTTTGGGTCGCCCGGGAGACGCTGCCCGCAAACAGACTCAGCCCGTTTGGGGCTCCAGTCGTACCTCCGAAACGATCCCGGGCCCCCAGTCCCACCGAACCGAAACGAAGGTACGACATGTACGACTGGAGTCCTAGCGGTTTGGACCTGTTAGCTCCAACCTGCCTAGAATTTGGAAGACTCGCTCACAAGTGCAATGGAAAAAAAAACACAACGCACCTTTTGTTGCCCACCTTGCCCGGGCCGGGCGGGTCCTAGAATTTTGCTGGTTTTGACCCAAAGCCATATCAAGCCAGCTGAGGGCTTCAAAGCCTTTTCCTATAGCAACCAAGCAGAGCCCACCAAGCCAGCTGAAGGCACAAGCATCGGGCCGGCCACGGCGGAAAGGTGACCAATTCCGGAGGCTCGCGAGGGACGTGTGTCGACTTGACTGAAACGACGTAGAGCTGTGTACCCCTACACCTCCAAGTACCTGCTCAGAAGGTACTTAGACCCTCCAACCCCCCCCAAACACCTTCTCAGAAGGTACCACTGGAGGGCTAGGGTACGTATATACGCGACCCGGGGGTGGCAAGCACCGCTGGGAAGCCAAAAGAAAACACCAACCGTCACCAACGCTCCACCGCCAAGCTCGGCGCGTCGCGTCCGACGCGCCGTAAGGCGCACGCCTTGAACAAGGGCTCCAAGTGCAGGGCTCTGAAGTGCGCCTCTGAGGGTTTCTGTGATGTGAAAAGAGAGGTTTGCTCTTTCCCAAACACTCATGGACCCTCATATGCAGGGGTCTGTGGTCTCAAATCCGTTGAGGGACTCCAACGCCTAATCTCTGTGATGTTTGTCCATGCGACGCGACCCTGACCCTTCGGGTCTGCAGGGTCCCTGGGGTTCGTTTCGCTGATGTCCGCTCTGCAAAGGAGGGATTCGGGAAGATCACCCTGAGGATCCGAACGGACCCTCCTTAGAAGAGGTCGAAACCCTCTATAACAAGGGTTTGTACCCGAACCAACCCCCTTAGCTTTTGAGGGTGCGGATCCTTCGGGCAGAAGACATGTTGCGTCGTGATTCATCTCAGAGTCCTCGCCCGATGGGTGAGCGAAAAGAGCGGATCCATCACGTCTCGAATCGCTGAACATCGTGGTGTTGGACATCGTTCCGCATTGAAGCAGAACGACAATGCAATCATCTATACTATAATACTGGAATCATTGTCCTGAATTTAGAAGTGAAACTATTCTAGTAGATCATTGGAGTAGTTGACCCGGGATCAATGCGTGGGAATATTCCATGCATGGAGCGTCTGGGTTGGTGTCAAAGTCTGATGGCTGGGAAAGGTGGTATTTGTTGCTCGTCATCTGGCTCCTGAACGTTACATGTCAAATATGACAACTGAAATGCAAATGACATATACAATCGTGCAGTAGATACTCAGTTGGGGTACCCCAACATCTTCCCTATCTACTTCTCCACAAAACCTGACGGTGACGTAAAGAAGATGTGAAACATCTGGGTACGACTCCTTCAGTTTGGGAAAGTAGAGGTTCGCCAGCAAATTTCTGTCCACCTAATTCGTTGAGTGGGGTGTCCCCAGTTCTTTAAAAAAACATTGAAGGTTCTTATCATAGGTTGTCCACTGTACTTCCTGAGTCCTGGGTAGGAAGTACAGTCAATATTGGAGACCCATACCTCTACAGTCATTGGAGACCCATACCTCTGCTGTCATTGGAGACCCATACCTCTACTGCCGAGTCAAAAGAATCACGTTGCAAACAGGAAATCCAACCCCCCTAAAATGACAGTGTGGGACTGGGCATGTTCACGGGTGGTATACACATTTAATGTAGACAAGTAGACATGGAGTCTGCACACCTATATATGGATCATCTAGATCTTTTTACTATATACTATTATACATTGTTTTTTGCTTTAAATGACAATGTTGGAAGGCAAAAGTTCTGCAAAGTTGGAAGATCCACGCATGGGGAGACAAACCCGTCACACGCGAAACGGACGGTGCAGGGCCTCCAGTTCTGTCAGTTCCTGGGTTTCCTGGGTCTCCTGCGATGTCCGTCTCACCGGCGGCAGGGCACCCGAGGTCTGGCTCTCCGACGTCGGCTCGCCAAGCCGTCGCCGTCGCAGTCGCCGTCGCCGGCTCGCCAGCGAGTTGTTCACTAAGACCCCGGGAACTCGTAACCTCGAAGATGGTACGTGAGCTTATCAAAAACTCATTCTACGTACCATCTTGTACCCATTTTCCGGGGTACGAACGGAAACTCCAGCTTGGCAGAACTCGGCAGCAGCAGTTCCAGGTCAGCAGCAGTTCTAGGTCGGAGTTTTGCCTACGTGAGTGGTTGGGAGCATTGATGTTCTATGGCATCATTGGGCCCCAAAACCTTGTTAAGCTCCGCATAGGACGTGTTCCTGTTGTGTGAAAACAACAACTGCAGAAAAAGAAAATCCCCAATGCGTAGCAAAGGGTTGTCTTTTAACTCTGGGGGTTTGGGGGTACTTAGATGATCTGGCCTTTGCTACTGACATAGCAAAGATACCAAAAGCATCCTAAGTTGATGCTAAGTGTGTTCTAAATGGTAGTTAAGTCTAACTCATGTCTCTACATTAGCCACTTAACTAGTACGTAGCTAAAAAACTAACCACTATGCTAACTATGTTAACTAGTTAGGTGAGTTAGCTGGCTAACTTTCCTAACTATGTTAAGTGGTTTCCTATATGTTAAGTGGTTAGGTAGGACTTAGTTGAGTACTTAGCCACGTACTTGGCTAACTATTTGTAATATTATATTGTTTAGATTAAAAAATTAAAAAAAAAAAAAAAACTTTTTTCAATAATAACATGACCAAACCAAACAACATGTCCTTTTTTGGTTGGTGCTCAGCTGTTAGAAAGCAATGGTTTGCAAAAACACACACACATAAGTGTTTTTTTAACAGTCCAATGATTTGACTTTGTGCTCCACCTTGCCTTACTGGGTTTGCATCTTTGCCTTATAACGGCTCATCATGTGAGATGTTTTATTTGGAGTTGCGAGATTATTGGGGTGGTTGTGTCGCCTTGAAAGGCTCGTCATGGAAGACTCAAACCCAAAATTTGCCCGCATGTTGAATAACAACTTAATTAAGTGTTTCCTGCCTGTTTCTGCAAACAGCAAAGTCACACCATGTGCGCAAACAAAGCAAAAGCTACATGGCAACATGCTCACATGCATGCCACATGTGCACCATGTGACTGAATGCATTTCACAGGCTGCTCACACATAATTACACCACATAGATAGGAAACAATGCCAAAAGCAGACTATGTTTCCTTGACTGCACCCTTATTTAACTGAGCCACCCATCCCAAATGCCGACATGTTCGACAAGTAGCCGTTGGATCGAATAGGGTCACAAAACATCTTGCATGGGGGACTCTGCCACCGCATGTATAGAAGTCTTCGCTCTACTGTATACACGAATGTAAATGATACAATCACACGCCCATCGCCAGGCATGTGCGCAAAGAAGCAGGACGGAATCACGAAAGAAGCATTGAAATTGTCCTAAGGTTTCACAAAAAGATACTGGTACCCGTCGACGTAATTTTGGAAATCATGAAAAATCCATATATCCATAATTTTGGCGTCGGGTGATGATCCACCTTGCGTCGCTGCATCTCGCCTGCGTCGAACATACGGAAGCTTCTGATGCACACATGTCAAAATTTTACATACGCTTACGATGGAAGTGAATGGAACTGATCTACATCAAGGTATTCAGACTGGATGCATGTCCACAGCCATCCTTGCACAACCATCTCCTTAGGGTCATCACCTTTGCTTGACATCATGTCAAAGGACGAACAGCCACCTGCAGCTATCTCTTCATCTAGTGTCTTGCACTCTTGCACAGTTGCCTTCAAAAAGGCAGTTGTATGAATGGCGTGCGCTCACAGGCATGCGGCATGTACGTTCCATTGCCAATGCAAACAGCCAACATGCCATTGCTCGTCTTTGCTAAAGCATTGTTCGAGCTCCTTCTTCACCTTCTCTTTGGGCAGCTCAAAGCAGACACTTTGTGTCAGCTTGCTGTAGCTAAACTCTATAGCAGCCATTGCTTTCCCCTTGCTGTGCACATCGTATGGCAGATAAGCTCTGCTGGTGTGAGGGTCTGCTTGCAAGCCAGGCCATGGGATAGCAAACATTCCAAATATTCCAAGATCTCACCAGCTTTTTTAGTTTTGCATGAGCTCAGACACCTCATCCCGCCAAATCTTTGCCATTGCAAAGGTGCCATATTGGTTCATTGTTATATTTCCACGGAACATAAACAGAATAAACGACTAAACATGGCCAAGCTACCCCAAAACCCAACCGGGCAACCCGGGTTGTCTGACAGTCACATGAGTCACATGTCTTTACTTCACGGTGGCCCCCAACAGATTGTCACTACACCTGTTCGCCCTCCAAGACCCTTGAAAAGGGGGACGGACCTGATCTTGTAGCCTAAAACCTTCAGGTCCAACTCCCCAGGACTCCGAACGGCCCAGCTCCTCAGGGTATAGGGGAGGACCCCCAAAAGCACCCACCCACCCCGCCCATCGAAGCGGTTCGGGGGCGGCCGAACGGAGCCCAGTTGGGACTTAACAAGCTGTTCTGGGCATATCAAGGCATCTCAAGGTTATATGAAATCAAGTGGTGCTTGGTTCGGAATCCAAGTAAGTACCTTCAATCTCAGGTTCGGGCCATGTGTTTGACAACCACTCTCATGTAGGTGCCAGGCTTGGATCCCTGGTGCGCCCACGTCGCCGAAGGGTCGATCGATGCGATTCGTCCGTCCTCCGCCACGGCCTTGGCCACGTTGGCGAAGTCCGTCCAGCTCGCGCCCTCGGACATGGCCTTACCTCGCCACCACGGGGACGCCGGTCACGCGTTTTCTCCGCCGGTCACGCGTTCGCGGTTCGAGGTGCGCAAAGCCGTGATGGGTGCAAATGTCACGCTCTTGGTTGACCCGTTTCCGCTGCTCTTGGTTGATTTGGCCGGTCAAAACGTTCTGAAGCTTGCATGCTGGACTTTGATGCCACAGATCGAGAGGTATCTGCTAAGCAGTGCGTCATTAGCTAGCAAAGATTGAGTGAGTCCCTCAAGTGGGCAAATCAAATCAAACGGAAGGTTTAAACGCGCTTGATTGCTGGGATCTACCAGATTGCTGGAATCTGCCGGCTTTCTGATGGAGTTTGCAAAATTCAGGTCTCAGGTCAAAGCTCTGATCTAAAGCGGATCCGCTATACAGGTTGACAAAGGTTGTTTGTTCCAACCCTTTTGCATACCTCAGGTAGGGACTCGGGACGAAAGAAAACCTCCAACTTCCAGTCAGACCAACACGAAGATCGATGCAAAGAAGTGACACGGAGCTATGACAACGAGATCCTATACGGATCCAAGCACCTTCTCAGAAAGTGATGTGTTCGACACTGTCCTGTTAGGTGCCAGGTTCGGTACGACTGGATCTCTAGGGAGATGGAGCCCGTTTCACCCCCAACGACGAGTACACAACACACAGCACTCGAGGGGCCAACGTCTTGAGTCGATCATACCTCAGAGTCGACCTTGGGGCCTGTGAGCCGCCGTACCTTGTTTCTTTGTTTCGGGTCATGTCCCAATTTTCGGTACAGATGGTCTGTCCTGCAGGTATTTTAGAGTTGCTCCAAGCCGGTGTTTTGGGCGTTTGGGGATGATGACCTACCCAGTCCAAGTGAGGGATAGTCTTTCACGCACCTTGGATGTAGCGTCCTTCCTCATCTCACAGAGAAACTCGGCCGAGGCGCGACAAAAGGAGCTGCTCGCTGCACACAGGAAGTCCTGAGCCGAGCGGGAAAAATATCCACTGTTTTCATCTTGAGTCTGAAGTACCTAGACCCGACTTGAAGTACCTTAGAAAATAGGACATGACCCTATTGCAAACCAAGTACTTGTACCATCTTGTACCCGTTGTCTGAGGTACTTTGAGATCTTTGAGACAGTATAGTTCACCTGGTCTGAGGCGACGTGAGAATCACCCGTTCTCCGGTCTTCCTTCGTTCGCCGTTCAGATCCGCCACATCCCTCATTCTCCGGATCTGATCCCCTGCCCCAATAGCGTCTAATCCCCCCCAAAACACCCAGGACCTAGTGGAGGATGGGGCCTGGTTGCAGGCCCCATCATCCATCGGATCTTGGACCGCCGGTGACACAGGTATACATACCCGAGGAGAACGAGGTCACCACCTGCCACCGTGTTTTTTCGATGTCTCCATTTCAGCCTTCATTTGGAAGATCTGTTGGAGGGTGCATATGTTAATGAGCCAAGCATGATGTTCTCACGAAGAGTTCAAGAAATTGCTCTACTTTCCTTCTGATTCCGTTGGTCCATGTCATCCATGTCCTAGCTTCGACTTAAGAGTAAACGGGTTCCTCTGGTTTTCTGCATATATAGATATGCCTTTCATGCTCACATTCATCAACTTTTCATGGGTGTTTTCCACAATTTACCACAAAAAGCTCCCAAGGGACAAGCACTCTTGAAGGCAACCGAACGTGTCCGAACACTAGCTGGGTGCCCCTGCTCTTAGCAGTCTCTCCACTGCCACAACGTCATTCTCAGCAGAAGGATCCTTGCTTTGCCTTGCAACGTTGAGGGAAATTGTATGTTCTTCCGTGGAAGACCTAACCTCCTTGATTTGCCTCCATCAAATGAACCTCACATGAAACACTTAATCAAATTGTAGTCGGCACAACATAATAAGCCTGGCATCGTTGGTGGCACCACGTTGCAACGAACAAATCTTAAACGATCTTAAATGGTTTGCGAGGAAATCCTTCAGAAATTCATCTCAGTGTTATGGAAATCGAATGTTATACAATAACATGTTATAGTTATCTATAGTTGGTAGCTTAGCAAAAGCGTTTTTTTGACATGTGGAAATCAGGATTGTTTCCCAAACATCGTTAGGAACAACGATGAACCATGACTTCTTGTTGGCAAACAGCATCTTCCAAGCTCACCATTCTCATGGCTTACAACAACTTCCTGAAACAAATCACATCGTGGATTCCTCAGAGTGTGCCCCGGGTGTGTGGAACTGTTCCAGTTCCAGATCCAGTGATCACAGTGGGAACACTATGGGATTCCGGGAATCATGGACAAATATACAGATCACAATAAACCAATAAACCTGTCCACGTTCTCACTCACTAAAGGTGTTGCCATGGTTGTTGTTTTTTTGTATGTTCTATGTAGCGCATGAGGGCCATACATGTAATAGCTTATAACTATATAATTAATACGGCACAGTGGTTTTCTATGCTGACGGTTCCTTTTTTCTGGAGTTTTATGCGGACGTGTTCTTTTAATTGGCTGGCGTATCTTATTGCGCTGGCGGTTCTGATTCTTGTATGCTGACGGTGTTACATTCGTTGTTTTTCTTTTTTTTTT